ACGCGGGAAGAGACCAACATCCTTTCTAAAGGATTAACCTTCTGCCCCACAACTGGCCACTACAACGAGTTTCAATTGTACCAAGATCTGGACAAGTTTGCCCGAAACATGAGGCTCCGCGAGTACTTTCACGACCGCCAACCGAATCCTAACCAAACGATTCTGACCAACCCAGAAAAGCAATGGACGCCTAATCCGCGAAGAGATAAGTACCTCGACATGTACATTGATATCACGCAACGCGAAATCATTTCCGCTGTGAAGAGGCAAAGACCGACAAAACATAACCTTTCTCGGCCAGAGAATGAGTGCCTGAAAAGACTCAGTGCCAGGGCAGATTTAATTATTAAACCTGCAGATAAGGGCGGCTCCATAGTTGTTATGAACAGACAAGATTATCTTGATGAGGGCTTTCGGCAATTGAATGACGCATCATTTTACCGCGAACTACCGACAGACCCCACACAAAGGCTTGAAACGGCCATCATAAAGGAATTAGTAGCTCTAAAGAAAAGTGGCAAAATAACCAAGGAGGTTTTTAACGCCATAAAACCATCCCACTCTAAACCCGGTCGCTTTTATCTCCTTCCTAAAATACACAAGATCAACAACCCCGGGCGACCCATAGTGTCAGGAATAGGCACAGTCACCGAACGTATCTCGAGTCTTGTCGATACACTGATCAGGGACATTCCTCCAACCTTCCCTTCGTTTGTTAAGGACACCAGCCACTTCAGAAAATTTCCCCACTAGACATTCCGGATAACGCTTTTCTCGTAACCCTTGATGTGGCTTCCCTATATACAAATATACCCCACAGAGACGGAATTTCGGCAGTGATCGAAGCGTATGAACACGCTCAGCACACACTTGACATCGAGGGGGACGTCCTTTCAATTCTGATGAAACTGGTTTTGGAGAACAATCACTTTGAATTTGAGAATAGGCACTTCCTGCAGACCAATGGAACCGCTATGGGAACTAAGATGGCGCCAAATTACGCTAACATATTTATGTCACAACTGGAAACCACCTTTCTCGCTGAACGCCCCACTCAACCGCTGTTTTACACAAGATACATCGACGACATATTCATGATCTGGGCCGGTGCTGAAGACGAACTCATGAAATTTATCGCCGCCTTCAATTTAGCTCACTCATCGATAAAATTTACTCACTCCGTATCACAAAAGTGCATAAACTTCCTGGAGGTAACTGTGGAAATTTCCAATAACAAATTAAGTACGAAACTTTACAGAAAACCTACCGATAGACAACAATACCTCCATTTTAACAGCTGCCATCCTCGACACTGTAAGACTAGTCTGCCGTACTCTCAAGCGCACAGATTTAAGCGCATATGCTCAGACAACAACGACTTTGAACAAAACGCTCAGGAACTGAAACGCGTACTAACCCAGCAGAGGTATCCAGCAAATGTAATCGATGACGCTATAAACAAAGCAAGAAACCTCGACCGCTCAGAAATCATTGGCAACCGAATAGAGCGTCCTCAAGAAAGCAGACAGTCTAACCTTATTTTAACGTATACAGGCAATCTTCCAAACATCAACAACATATTGAGCAAAAATTACAATCTTCTGTCACAGAGCGACCGCCTCAAAGAAATCTTTCCCGCCGCTCCTCGGGTCGTCTATCGACGCGGCAGGAATCTCAGGGACGTCTTAGTAAAATCAAAAACTACCACTCCCGCAAACCTAGGTTGCCGACGATGCCGAAAGCCCAGGTGTAAAGTATGCAAGCACATGTTAGAAACAAAGAACGCCACGAGCACAAATTCAGAGTTCACGTGGAACATAAGGGGTAGCTACGACTGCGGCACGTCAAACGTGATTTATCTCCTGCACTGCAATGTCTGTAATAAACAGTACGTCGGACAGACTAATTTGGCTTTCAGACTACGCTTTAACAACCACAAATGTCACGCACAAACACTCCCCGACCTTCCGCTCTCAAAGCACCTGTCTCTTTCTAATCACTCAATCAAGCACATTTCTGTTGTAATTTTGGAATCAGGCTTCAGCACAAAAATTGAAAGAGAGCAAAAAGAATCATATTTTATTTATAAGTTTAATACCTTCAACCAGGGCATTAATGAAAGTCCGGGAAGGCTGTTTAGTTTGCAGCTGGCTCCTTGGAGAGCTGATCCTCTCCGCCCTTGAGCTTCTCTAGATGCACACACTGAAGACATTAGGAGATCTTTAAACTTAACAATCGATAGTTAAACCACATCCTAATACGTTTAAGTCCGAAGAGAACCTCCAAAACGGATAAATGCGGCTCAAGCGGTTAATCTCAGGCAGGCATAGACTGTCACATCCCTACCACTCCTTATCCAAAGAAAAATCCCCCAAAGTGTTTAACTTCGACCTCTAGCACAAAGGAATGTCACGGGATTTGGGGGCGTCGGTGGTCACATGTATCCTATTTCTGGTTTGAAGACGAGCCACCCCCTTTTTTATTTTTATTTTTATTTTTTATTTTTTGTGTGAGAGGAAATAATCTCCCCACCAACAACCTTTTTTTTTTTATGATTGTCAAGTTTTGGTGCCCTCTCCTTTCTGTGTAATCTATCTGTTTTGTCAACGCTGTTTCCATTTTCTACGGCACTTTACTCCCTCTAATTTCTTCTTAGGGGTATATAAACATTCGCGGGCTGTATACTCGCTACCTGATGAAGAGCGGTCCCCGCTCGAAACGTCGTAATAAACTTCGAATTAGTAACTCCGACAGTACGCATCTTTCACTTATTAACTTTTCCCGGTCCATTGTTTTCATATTTACCTTACTTTACCTATATATATATATATATATATATATATATATATATAATTTGTTTTTATTTTGCCAAAATTTAAAATTATAACCGGGCATGCTCGGCGGAACTTATCTGAAAACAGCCTATAGAGGTTTTTCCAAGCGCGAAGCTGAGAAAAAGTAGGTATTAAAAACAAATCTTGACTCGCTTTTATATCAATTATCGTTCAAGAGAAGGCAGCGTTAAATGCAAAAAAAGGACACGTAAGTCCAGTACTTTACCTTCTAGTGTGTTCAAATTAATTCTTATTTTAATATCACAAAACATTGGCTTAAAAAACAATAGGTTTGGCTGCTAGTAAATGAAAATGTACGCCAGAACATTGTTTTTTTTGTGAAGTGTTTTCAATTAAACATTTCATCTTGATTCTCACCTTTTTCTTCAAAATGAAAGTCTGTTCTAGCAACACTGAACGTGTGAAATTAATGGCAGGAATTGTTACCCTGTCTAGATAGGAGAAATATTTTTCGCCTGATTCAAATTAACCTATTATTGTGTAAGTAATGCTGTGGAAGCTCACTTCATCACCTGCTCAGCCGTAGGAACAATTATTTTCAACATACCTTGTTTCTATACAGCGAGTTCAAGCCTACCAGTGACTTCGTGCCACTGAAATTTGGAAAATTGTTTTTAATGTTTTAGCACCGGCTTTAGTTGTCATTTTCTCAGAAGCTGTTTAGAATTTAGAGATACTAAAAACCATATGGGAAAAAGTACGCTTCGGGCATATAGAAAATGCAACCAGTTTCAGTCGGCTCCGTAAATTAACTGTATTGGCCAGAATCAACGTGGAAAGGCTACAATATATGTGCAGTTAGTCCAAAAAGTAACCATAGTGTTGGTATAGCGTTCTCAAGTGCCTTTGGTTTCCATATATGTCGTTGGTGCAGGACGGGGATTCCACTCTTCCGATAACCCTGGTAAACACGGATCATATAAAACTTTAGTTTTACATGTTGTAGTTATGAGCTGATGAATATAACTTAGCCGCGATGAAACGTACCGTGGAGGTAAATAATATTTCTGCGTAAAGATGAAGTCGATTATATTAATTGCGTTTTGGAAGGACACGAGTGGTTTTACGGCGCTATGATAGAGATGTCACTTAAGCGCTAACTTCTCATTCTACAGAGCTCTAATTACAGACAGAGCTTAAGTGGTGAAAATAATCTCCCGCCCACTTATGGCCACAGTTCAGTTAGAGCAAGAGAGTGCAAAAAATCCAGATTTATTTGGAACAATTGGTAGCGAGTTAATTAATCTTTCTTGACTTTACGTATCCCCAACATATTTGACATGATGTGAAATGTTAAAAAAAAATAGGCATCTCGTATAGAAGGAACTCTAGGAACGAATGTAGGAATGAGCTTTCGAGGAATTACGTTGCTTCAGTACTCATGGTCCTTTGCAATACTAATTACATTGAAAATCAAAGTAGCATTAAAGCACAAAATAAGCTTTTATTTAAATTCAAATACGGGATAATCTCGTCTCTACAAGGGCGCATAAAAATACGCTTGGTCGAATCGCCAACATACGTTGATTAGTCAATGCCCACTCACGTTTCGGTGACTATCTAGATTCTAGAAACAATTAAAAAAATAAAATAGGATTAAGTGCAGTTGCCCAGAGTGATAAAAAGGCAACCACAAAACTAGCGAGTGCGGAAACAGGTCGCGATTACAGCGGGTCGTTTCGACAAATTCCTCCGTCGAAGCCAATGATCGACTTCCTTGCCTCACTCTTGAATATTGGAGGAGATCGAACTATAAGGGGTGCTCTGACCCGTTTGTTGTCTCCACACCTCGGTTTTTACCAAAAAAAGAGGTCTGTGAACTGGCTACAGGTTAACGTAAAAATATTAACAATAAACGAAGTGACGTTTATTCTTAGTGGGAGATCTCTCCCGAAAACAGTCGTCAGGAAATGCGAGCTTGACCCACTTGGGATTCTGTGCTCAGCTGGGCATAAGCAGCGTGCATTGTTCATGCAGGCCGGAGAAACGCAGCTGATTTCAAACTACGCGGCACATTTTGTTCTCGACTTTTTTAATAAGACTAAAATAATTTTATTATGAATCGTTAGACCACCCATAAGCATAACGTGGTTTCTGTATACTCATTTTTAGCATTGATGCTCACAAACGTTCGAATATTTCCAGACTTCAGACGGAACAATGTTACAAAGTGAAGTCGAAGAAAGCCTTCCAAGCACCTTGCCAACTTCCGGGCGTGGGACTGAACATGACAGATTTATGCAAGAAGCTACATCCTGACACCCCTGGAATAACGGGCTTCTCTGTAAGAGGCATCAAATCAATTATTTCAGTATTCGGAGGGACCTAGCAATCTACAGAGGACTTATTTCATCTCAAATTAAGAGGGAAGAGAGGTCCGAATTTCTAGTTTCAAGTTAAGACATATATGTTCTAGGGAAGTCACTATTTAGAAAAAAAGAAGATAGCCACTAATTGGAATACCTATTTGTTCTCCATTTATGGAGCAAGAAATGACCGCGGTTGAAATTAGCTTCTTTTCCGATTGTCGAAGGTAGCGTGTTTGACTCTCTCTTCTCTAATGGCTTTGTCTCTGTGTTTTTTCTTTTCTTTTTGTCTAGATCTATGTGGGCACCGTGAAACGCTTTTAATATAATTAAATTTAAAAAAAAAAGTTATATTTGTTTAGAGAATTCGTCTAACTAACCTTCTAGGTCAATTTCATATGAACATTGCACGGTTGAGTTTTGCGAAGTGAGGTTAAAAACACAATCAAGCTGGTGAATAACTCATTTAAAACCCGTCTCGGAATTGAAATAGATATCTGAGACCTGCCAAGATATATTTAAAACTATTATGCGCAAAAAAAGGCCCAAAAGGAGTAGTAAAATTTATTCAAGTCATTTATTTGTACGCATTATTTACTGTAATATCGTAACTTAAATGCTAGAAATTTAGAAAGTTCAGTAGCTGAAATTAATGTTTTCAAAAAACACTATTTTCCGGTTTCGTAGAAAATATTTCTTTCTAGAAAACATTCTTAGTTTATAAATGTAATATTTGGTTTTTATGACCTGTATTAAGAAACAATATTTTAATATGCCTGTGTGTGTTTAGCTAGAAAAACAGACAAACAAAAAAGTCAAATTTTGGGGTTTTACGTGCCAAACCTACGACGGGCATCTGGCACGCCCCAGCGGAGCCACCGAGGCGGCTCTAGAAAAGCAGACATTATCGAGCTCGGGTGTCTCTGTGGTTTTTAGGGTATGTTGGTATGTCACTCGGGTGATATGTCCACGCCATATTTGCGGACTTGCTGAGAGGAGACAGGAGCGAGACTGAGACGGCGTAAGTGTTATAAAGAACTGTTTTATGTAGAAATAAGAAGTCTTTATGCAAGGTGAAACAAAATAAATCAAATATTGCACAAAGCATTCTTTTTAGCGTGCAGGCACTGAGACAAAGTTCAACCAATACAGCAAAACATTGCTGCTAAGACTCCTAGGTTCGAATTTTATCCCGACTTCGAACGTACTAGCTGCGGCTCTCCGTCCTAAGCTCGCCGTGGCGTCCACCCCATTTGAAGCATTCGTGTACAAAATAATGATTTAGAAAACAAAAAATATATACTCCAAATAGCTTGTTTGTCTTACATTCGCGACACATTGCACGCCACTACAACCTTCGGCCACAAACAGACCCCCAGAGGCCGTGAACGTCTAATGTCCAAGAAGATGGAAGCGCAATATGATAATACAATGAGGTTATAAGACATAAACGGAGCAGGATGTATTTTTAATGCCTAGTCATAAAACAAAACACAATCTATTTCGTTAGTAATGATTCCACACAGCCCAAGCTTATGAAGAAAGGTATTGCAGAATGACGTTTTAAAGCTTCTGTAGCAAAGCCTTACATCCGCAAGAGCTCGAACATTTTCATAGTCAAGTCGTGAGACTGCAGTCGGTAGTCTTTCCAAAGTATTTTGTATTAGGTGTCGGGGGGAACAATTTAAAAATATTAAGAACTCCTCTTCACTCATTTCTGAAGGAGTGTGTTAAACTACCTCGCGTCCCGTTGTGATTAGGTACCTGCACATTATTCCCGGCAGCGTTAAAGCTGCTTCCAGGTTCAGTATAGGGGTTGTCTCTTCAGCACTTCCAAAACTAAAGCCCTTATGCAATTCAAACTAAATCGTAGGATGAAACCGATTTTTAGGCGAGGTAACACATACTTGCAAATATGTGGCTTGCGAAGTTGTTAGTTTAAAAATCTCCTTTTCCTGTGGCAAAATCTGGGAAGGCCAGACCAGCAGGGCTTGTGGGCCTTATGCCTTTATGAAGAGCTCTATCAGAACACTAAAATGTGTGCTGCAATAACTGTTGCCGCCTTTCCCAGTTAAATAATATTCAAATATAGGACAAACATCTAAATAAAAGCCTTAGAGGAACTCGTGGCGTATTTTTCTTTCTTCATTATTGTCGTTATGTTTGTGTTAGTACAAAATCAGTTACTATTTCCGATGTTGGCGGCCCTTCTTAACCAGCCTGACAAATTTCTTTGACGGTGTTTTAATTATTGTTTTGAGGGACTGTTGTCCTGTCCGGTTTCATGTTACTTATTTATTCATTTTTATGCAGATGTAGCTTGTTATGAAAGAACACGAATATCAATTGAACTTGGAACTTCAAACATTAAAGAACAAATTTCCGCCGACGACCCTGAACAAGAAGCTTCCAATAAAAAGCTAAACTAAATTCAGTGTCGCGGCATATAAAAAACGCAGTACAATATTAGACAAAACAAGAACACCACCACCTAAGCTAAATAAGCACACACTGTTTTAGTTAAAAAAAAAAAAAACGAATGATTATGTGGTCGATGACGACGTAATTAAGCAATGTCGGCAAATTATGAAAAAAATTGCTGTCCATATATAGTGCAGAAATGGCGTGCGATTCATTATGTGTCCGTTGAATAATGATTATTGATTCCCGTTTAGTCAAATCTGAAAGATCCGTATTATATAACCTAGATAACGTTTTATGATTGCAAAAGCCTAAAAGCACGTGGTAACACATTGTATCATGGAAAAAGTCATTACGGGTGGGGCAGTAAGCATGGTGTGGCCATCATAGATTCGCCATGCTTACGTCATTCCATCCATCAGGATCCATCATGAATCCACTATGCTTACGTCACACCACTCGTTATCAGTTTTTCCATATTACGATATGTTACGATATGCGTCGATGCCACTTTGGCCATCATAATTACGTACTTACATTTTCCAATGGGGATGAGAAGCAATACACTCTATACTGAAAAAACAACATAATATACGGTAGGCATAGCCACCGCCAACTTCCGTAATATTACGATTAAGATTTGGTACTGGTGTCAGCGCTGTGTGTGGTTTTCACTTGTGCTGTATTTCTTTTGTGCTGCTTTATTTATTTTGATTATGCAATGACTGGCCTAACTACACACGTTGATCTGCAATCCTAACTGTCCCCGTATACGTTTTGCACAGCAATAGAAAAATTATCGTTAATAGTTGATTTGGGCGCTTCCATTCAATGTATCCACTGTGCAATATCTGCCGACTAATTTTCTTTGTTGGTATAATAAGATGTCGACTAATGCGCTCTTATTTTTTTGCCAATGCTTTATTGTTGGTGCTCATTAACAGTTTTATTTTTATTGCCTGTTGAGCAGTGTCTTACTGTGACTGGGCTTCGTCAAAGCCCCAAAAACGTTTGTGTCCGAAGTAAAGAAACAATCGAACGAACCGGCCATTTCCTTCGCGGTCCCATCTACCACCTACATTAATAAAACAGAATGTGTTCTATGAGCCCATTTTTATGGATATCTCCAGCATTTGGATGAACCCCCGGCTGTAACGGCCAGCTGTATTAGCCGGATGAAATGAAAACCGTGGACCGAAAAGAATTCAGTTCTTAGGAAACCATATCAAAAGTCGCACGCGCACGATTTGAACTCACACCACTGAGATTGTGAGCCAAGTGCTTTACCGACTGAGCCATCTAGGTTTTATTTTTTTTTTCTTAATAATCAAGCTATCCAGTGTCAGTGGTAGCTAAGACGCAAACGCGTACGCATTGGCGCGGCACTGAAACGCGCGGTCGCGCGCTTCTCGGCATTTCCGGTTTGGCTAGGCCATCTCGCGGCGTGTTGTTAGAGAGGGCAGCGAATCTTAGGCAGGCGGTACCGTAGGGCCCTTACAAAAATATGTATGGATACCTCTAGGACGTTCTATAGACCAGCGTCCATAGGCAGGACAAAAGGCATCTATAGGCACACCACGACCTCTGTTGCCTCCGTGAAGTCGTCCTATGGCTGCCCTATAGAATATTGGCCAACGGACGTTCTTTGGACGTCCTATTCTATGGATGATGTGTGGTCGTCCTATACCCTCTCTATGGCAAGACGCCATATAGAGTCCATAGGGGCTCTATAGGGTGTCTACACAGGGTCTTTACGGTGTCTATAGGGCGCTGCAGAAAACCCATACGAAGTCTACAAGGAGTCCCTAGGGAGTCCACAGGGAAGCCATACAAGGTCTAGACAGGGTCTTCAGAAAAGCCATACAAGGTCTACCGGGAGCCCATACAGGGTCTGCAGAGAAGCCACTCAGTATGCAGGGGTTCTGCTACGGGGTCCGCAACGACCTACGTTTCTAGAGCAAGTCAGTTGGTAAACTGCTAAAGAGCTTTCTCTGAAAAAGCGGCACCCCGATCTGTACTCGAAAACCAAACTGATCGCGATCGCAACGCCACCATTCCACCCGCAGCGGCCACTCGGATAACTGCACGACTGCGTGTGCTGGTTTGGGACTATCGATATTCGACCGCATGTTTCTGTTCTGCTTTGGCTTTAATCGGCCACTTTGGCGCCGAAACATATACGGTAGAAGAGGGGTTTCAGGGATGCCAACCCCTGTCTCCCAGGCGGACGCGCCGCGAATTGCCACCGAAGTTAGGACGCACCCAAGTCGGGACGCGCTACCTGAAGTCGCCGGTGAGGCATGGCTGTAAAAAAAATATTAATTGTGCAGCAAAACCCTGTAAGCTAAAAGTGTATGGAAACATCACGCTCTTGTCATTTTGTACTGATCTCCAATAAAGGATTCTACAAAAACAGCTTTTCACCATTTGTTTTTACGCAAAAACGTGCTCTGTAAAAGTCATGTTAAAGAGTGTAGGGTCCTGGGGGTCTGCAAAGAAGCCATACAAGGTCTATAAGGAGTACGTAAGGGGTTCACAGGGAAGCCATACAGGGTCCACAGGGAAGCCATACAGGGTCCACAGGGAAGCCATACAGGGTCCACAGGGAAGCCATACAGGGACTACACGGGATCCTTATGGAGTCTGCAGAGAAGCGATAAAGGGTCTGCACGGAGCCCCTACGTGGTTCATAGAGAAGCCACTTTAAGCGATGGCGGTACCGCGGTGTGAGAATCGCACTCCCTAGCTCCTGGATGATTGGCCTCATAACAAAACGGCTTGCCTACACTTTCCTGACGTGAAAAAAAAACAAAGTAAATCTCTGATACTGCGTGTATATAGCAAAACTACAATTACTTACGCGTCGCTCGCAGACGCAGCCCAGTATACCGCTTTTTTACGACGATCATCCAGATGACCGCAATTTTGATAGGCACTAGTGCGCCCCCTATTGGTTGTGAAACTTGCGAATATCTACGGGGGCCGCAGCGACCCACATATACCTACCTCCCACTGAGAAAGTAAAAACATTATTCCGGCACATACTAAACACTTCCATCTCCACAATGAGGTTGGATATGCCTCCAGACATCAATGTAACATATTGATACCCGGAACTTAATTAACAACTCTTTAACTCGGACACCTCGCTACACCTAAAGAAAACGTCTACCCGGCATCACTTTATTAATGCACCAATATATAGCTCACACCATAGAGAGGCAATAGGATGACCATAGATTTACCGGCACCATAGAACGGAAATAAAAAGGAATGAAAAACTTTTTCTTTCGCGAAGATCTCTAGAGCGTTGTTGTGTCCATTTTGTGGCAAACCAGTGGTACATAGACGGTCTAAGAACTTTTTACAGGAACCCATAGGATGGACAAAGAGGTAATAAAACGGCAAAAGTATGGACATAGGACGTCCATACATATTTTTGTAGGGGGGACGCACTTCTCTTCTGCCACAGTGGTTGTGGCTCCTACAAAGCCAGAAACCCCCATAAGTGGAAGGCCTATCACACATTTGTGGCTCACCAATCTTTGTAAGAATGATCAAGCTTGCCTCTCATGCAGAAAGCTCGACGTCTTTCGAATAAACAATCTGACTTTTGGAGGTCTAGATCTTATTCCAAACTAAGCAAGACATATGATTGCTCTGAATGGACATAACGTTTCATTAAATGATATAATTGTTTGCTCGACAGACCCCGAAATATGACGGGAAGTGCAAATTTCTGTGCATTGCGATGGTCAACACTACCATACATTTCTTCACTCACCGCCATATAGATGGAATGCCTTGCGGCAAAGGAAGGGTAAGTGGAGTGGGCCTTTTAGACCGTTGACGATCAGTATTTTCCAAGAGTTTTAACTTATAATAATTAAAGACACCTTACTTCGTTATCAGTGAAAAAGTTTCGTTTCTGCTTGATTCCAAACAATTTTTTAATGACTACTCTTTTGAAGGCGTGGTCGGCCTGTTTGTGATGGTCGTGCATCCTAGTCACAAAGTACATGCATTAAAAACTGCGGCTCGCGGTCAAGAGCATTGATATTATCCAAACTTTGGTAGGCCTCTAGAATTTTGCCCTCTACTCACGAATAGACCTGTACATCAATATTTTCTTAAACTAATATGCATGTGTTACTGGCCAAATGTTTGTTGTTCAAGTCTGGTTTTATTCAAAAAAGAGGAATAGGAGATACACAGAAGGAGCCAGCAAGAAGTCGTATTGTACTTAAAGATGTAGACCAACTTTTTTTTTGTTAAGTATCAATTGGTTATTTTGGAAAACAAAATGTACGATCCTTAAATCCAAGTTCAAGATTTAGTTCAGAAATACAATTGTTGCTAGCAAAGGCGAAACAGTTCTTCAAAATTTAAGAAATGTGAGAGCGTAGTATCCCAGACGTAACTGCATATATGAACACCATGTTGCCTCGTTACAAAAGTAGCCATAAAAAATAACACTCAGCTGCGATGCTTGAAATTCTCACCATTACGGCCTCAATATTGTAGATATATTGAACTTTTCACTATGTGTTTCTTGAGTGTGCACTCATCGGCGGACGTCATTGCATTCTGCAAGCGAAAGGCGTGTTTTCCTTATTCCATTTTTCGTCGGGGTTTATCGTTTTGTGGTTTTGCAGTATTTTTTTTTTTAAATAAATCTAAGGGCGAATACAGGCTGAGGAGTAATTTTATTTTTATATTGTCCATGCGAATTCCGGTATCACATACAAACCCGTCTTGAGATGTGTGGCTACAGTTATATTGCGTTGAAAGTATTCAGCAAAATATCAAATACGTTTACAATCTCCTGTAACGCCGAATTAGAGCGCAACTCTCGAGGAGGAGGAGGTGATGGTGGGAAGGGGAAGGTATGCCCCTATTTCTTCCCTGCTACATTTAGCGCGAAAAAGTTTCGCCTAAATATAGCAGGAAATATTTTAGCGGAATTTAGCGGGAATATTGGCAATGTTTGATACTTGTAACGTCACGCAACGTCACACGTGATGTCATACGTCACGTGCTTCCAATAATGACGTCACACGAGACGTTACGTGTGACGTCATGAAGGTAACCCTCGTGAGGGCAAGCCTCGTGACCTCGTGAGGGTAACACTCATAACCCTCTTGAGGGTAACCCTAGTGACCTTTGTGAGCCTAACCCTCGTGACACTTGTGACAGAAACCTTCGTGACTTTCGTGAGGGTAACCCTCGTAACCCTTGTCAGGGTAACCCTATGACCCTATTGAGGGTGACCCTTGTATCCCTTGTCAACCTCGTGAAGGTAACCCTCGTGACCCTTGTGAGGGTAACCCTCGAAACCCTTGTGAGGGTAACCTTCGTTTACCTTGTGAGGGTAACTCTCGGAGCCTTCGTGCGTGTAAACATCGTAACCCTCGTGACGGGAACCCTCGTAACCTACTCCTAACGCCACGAGGGCTACCCTCACGAGGGTAGCCCTCGTGGCGTAACACGTGATGTCAATATGGAAAATTCCCCATAATGCAACGCGTGGTTACACCGATGGCGACGCCAACGCTGACGCCGCTCAAGCCGGAAACGAACCCCTAAGAGCTCCGCTCTAAAAAGAAAATAGGTTCTAAGCGTTTCTATTACATGCAAAAGCCTTCCTGCAACAGCCCCCCCCCCTACTCCCTCGAAAGAAGGAAGAAAAGAAACTGGATTTAAAATTTGAAGCGAAAGCGCAAGTGCAGAAGAATAATGAGTGAAAGAATAAAAAAAAAGGTCGATCGACCGTACCCTTAGGGGAATCGAACCCATTACCTCATGATAATGAGGTAATGGGTTTTTAACTCTCAACCCTCAACTATGTAACTTTTTCATATTGACATTGCCTAGGACTACACCTTTGCCACGGTGTAAGATGTACATCAAAACAAAAACTCGCAGCTCTTTTTTTTTATTAAAAAAGTGAAAGCCGTTTACACCTCCCTGTAACGCCGAATTGGAGCGCAGCTCTTGAGGAGGAGGAGGGAAGGGTACTGAGGGGAGGGTAGACCCCTCCTCCTTCTCCTCCTCCTCCCCTCATTCTTTAATATGCTCCGGGGAGGTCAAGTGACCTCGGGGGGGGGGGGGGGGTGTCACGTGACTTCGGGGAGGGGGGTCACGTGACCTTGGGTGTCACATGGGGGTCATCTCAAGGTCACGTGACCCCCAAGGTGACCCCCACGTGACCTCAGGAAGTCACGTGACCTTGGGGATCACGTGACCTGGAGGGGTCACGTGACCTTGGGGGGGTCACGTGACCTCAGAGGGGTCACGTGACGTGGGGGGGTCACGTGACTTCAGAGGGGTCACGTGACGTGGGGGTCACCTTGGGGTCACGTGACCTTGAGATGACCTTGGGGGTCACGTGACCTTCAAAGGGTCACGTGGGGTATCTTGGGGTCACGTGACCTTGAGATGACCTTGGGAGGGGTCACGTGACCTCGAGGGGTCACGTGACCTTGGGGGTCACGTGATCCCAAGATGACCCCACGTGACCCCCAAGGTCACGTGACCTTGGGGGTCACGTGACCTTGAGATGACCTTGGGAGGGTCACGTGACCTTGGGATGACCTTGGTTACGCCGACGCCGCTCAAGCCGGGAACGGGCCCCTAAGAGCTGCGCTCTAAAATAAACTGCTCATTCTCTAACCCTCATTTGCCGGCAAAATGTAGCGCTAGCGGTTTAAACCAGATGCCTCAGCTGCAGCATGAAGCGTTATCTTATTCAAAAATTGTGATTTTCAGAAACTTTTAAGTGAAAAATTAGTCCTAGTTTCGCCCGTTTTCGGTAGCTGGCGGCACTGAACTCCATGTATTATAGCGCTCCGCCGGCGGCCATTTTCGCATTGAAAATTTCTGAAAATCACATGACTTTTGAATAAAACTGTTACAGGGTCTCTTATGTTATCCTTAAGACGACTTGAAGGCGAAAGCCCAAGCGCCGATTCCTTAAAAACAGACAGATAATTTACCCGCTGAGTCATCTCTCTTAATGTAGTGAGTCCTTGTTGGCAGCACCGGGAACAGCGGAGCCAGGACTGGTCCTTTCATATCCACGGGTCCTGTAGGAACGGGGCTGTGATCTGTTCCCACTGTCCACATTTCGCCCACAAACTTGCTCTGGGTTGAGAGAACGCTTTTCGGGTAGGATATTCGCCATCTGCGCGCTTGTTCCCTAAGCGTTCTCGAGATTCCTGCGCGCGAGGATCAATGGTTCGGGGAGCTGCACAGTTCGTCGATTTGTAATACTCACTATGCCTTTCGTACTCGTCGGGGTCTTCACGCAAAGCAAATCTTGGTTCAAGAGCGGTATTTCTTCTTGGAGGAGGCCGGTACCGGAGTTCAGCACCGATGAGGGCCTCAATTGTCGACGCAGTCCGTGTCATCTCGTCACGATCCTAAAAACTACGCCCCCATTAGGTGTGGGTGGAAGCGTGGGTGGCTCTGACGGACAGCCCGTGCTATTTTTTCTGCATCTGGGGCCGGCGCGTCAGCAAGGTCATACGCCCTTGGAACGCCGTCACAAACTTCTATGAGCAACCCCAGCAGGAGCTGTGTACGGGCGCGGAGCTCATCTTACATCCGGATACTGTAATTCGCTTGCAGGAGCTCCGGGTTGAATCGCGAAACACAATCCGCCATACTCCACAAACTTCGTTGACTTCTTCTTCAGAGCGCTGCGCTATCAGTGAATGCGATCGACAAAAGGCGAGTGAGCATGGTTTTGTCGTCATTTCCCAATGCAGCTTGGCAGTCTCGCAGTTCCGAGACGAACATTGCGACTGACTTTCTACCTACGTACTCCGAAAAAACTAGAACGCTATGCGAGAGCCATAAATAGTCCCTGGGAGACGGTGTTCCAGCGGGTTTAGGGCTTCAGCGCGTCATCTGCTCCCGTTTTAACTGAAGAAGCCTGGTCATGGCTATTCTTAGTTTTGCTGAACCACCCTCTGATGATACGCCTGCCGGGACCGAGACTGCAGGTTTAGCACCTGTTTTTTTTTTTTTTTTTTTTTTTCCCTGGCGGCGTTATTTGCGAGTGCGCCAAGTGTCAATTCGTCGTCATAACTCACGTTTTTGACGGCGTCCTCTGTATACCACATCTTGTAGTAGTGAAGGCTTCCGCAGGTCGAAGGAGACATGCTTGGGCGAATTCGTAGAAAAAGCCCAGCAAATGTGGGAAAACTTAGGAACGTAAAAATGACTATGTAAAAAGCAATAACAAACCCAGTTCGCGGCCATATCTCAGACGAGCAGGCAGCATTTCACGTTTGGGCGCCAGTGTGGGCTTTCACTTGTTGCTCCCCGTCTCGGGAAAGAAACAGCACACCAGTTCAGCAACACGTAAACATTTAATGACCATTATCGCCCGCGCCCCGATCCCAACAGCCCCCGCGCACACGCTGGGACGGCCCCTTATGAGCGGGGAGCGCCGCTGGCGTGGCCAGGTGCCCTTGGCACCCTCGCGGTGCAGATGACCGCTGACGATTGTTGGAGGGGCAACCTGGGCCAAGCGCTTTGAATCCCCACGTTGTCCACAACATTCACCGTGACATGCCAATGCGGATAGAGATTGTCATTCCTTGACTAACACTCGGTCGAGCGTCTACACAAAAGTTTCTTCATCACATAGACCAAGCCACAACACCAGTGTCCCAGTTGTGGTCTAATTGAAACAATTCAGCACAGCATTTGCGTTTGTTGTGTCTACGATGTAGAAAGCACCAAACTCAAAAGCACATTGGCATACCTCAATAGCCTGTCCTTATTTGTGCCAAAGGTGCTTGGTGCCTTGAACGAGCCACATAAAGGAGCAAAGGCCACAAAACCTCGTGTTTTAACGAAACAAGCCTGGCACCTGTTTATAGACGATGAACCTCAAGGTTCATGAATAGTGCCGGGTCTAGGTGTTCGCGACTTGTGTAACTTTTACGCATTTCATTATCTCCTTCTTTTTCAAACTTCCCTTTATTCTCCCAATTCCTCTCCCCCTGCACAAGGTTGCCAACCGAGAAAATTAGCCAAGTTTACCTCCTGATTTTCTTCTTTTCTTACTTCCTTTCTTGAGAACATGTGCTTACTGAGTCAAGTGGATATTTGAGAGAAATGAAACATAAATAAAAAAAAGTCTTTGCCCCATATGTTGTAAGCGTGAAAGACACACGGCAAGTAGAAATCTGGGCATAAGCTCTATTCTCAACTTAATAATAAAAAAATACGAGGACAAAAATAATGTCTTAAAGGAATATTCTTGCAAATATAACTGGATTCAGATATTAAGTTTGTCCTGTATAGTGACTAATAAAACATGATAAAAAAAACTAAAACAGAAAACCGACAAGACACGAAACCATGGGTAGAAAACAAGTTTAGTAACAACAATGCAGGTACTGTAGTTTCTTCCATGACAAGGTCACTGACGGAACACTATGACCTCAGCTTCGAATATTTCACGTGTTCTCTTATGAAACATCCTCACGATACCGGTGTTTGCACACAACAGGACACATCCACTGTCCCTTAAATGCACGGCGATATGTCCCGATGGCGCGGATTTGAGAGAGAGGGCATGTTTGTTTAGCCTAACATCCAAACGTTCGGCTAAGAGGTTTAGCCTAACGCAAACATACTCCACTCTGCAAAACAGTATGATGCTACAACGTGTTAACTTTTGGTCTTCGTTCAGATCAGAAGGTAGAAAAAGGGTACTCGCATTGGCAGAAAGAAGATAATAAAAGTAACGTTTTAATACTTCAGCGGTTGGAGTGGCCACACAGGCTGTGGTTTTGTCGGTCACGAACGCCACAGAGGCATTCCAGCCTCACACGTGCTCGTGCACACACAGTGCTCCGGCTCACGAGGTCTCGTCGCCGTCTTTTTTTTATTTAAGGGGTCGCTTACTTGTGGGAAGTCTACACTCGGCCGTCCTGGAGCCTTAACGTCCTCGTTAAGTTTGAATTCACACTCAAATATTAAAGTAATAGATGAGCACACACGAAAGGAAATATCACTGAACGACTTCACATTAAACAGTCTTGTAGTCTAGCAGGCAGCGTGCGTTTCCTTGAAGGTCTTCTAGCTGCTGGGAGCCCCTCTTGCTCGTCTCCCGAATCTTCGGAGGCGACATCGTCGTCGAGGTACGGCGCTGCCGACGTCGTCGACCATCCTCTTAACTGGGAGACGTGCGCCGTCGTTGCGAACCAGCTCCCAAAACTTTAATCGAGCTCTGCCACTCGATAGGTATCTGCGGGCAGCACCTCGGTGACAACCAGGGGTCCTCGGTACTTGGGTTGTGTCTTCGTTGGGTTTCCGGTATGTTGTGTTGCTCTCCTCATAAATACAACTTCTCCCACATCGTACAGCTTTGCTGGGTAGTGCCGACGATCATACGTCTGCTTGCTTCTTTCCCATTCCTCCAGCAACCGTTGTCTTACACGTACTCGCAGCTCGCTAGGATCCTTCCATGTGGCCTCATCATCCAATGCTATACTCGGCGACAACTTTTCTTGGCAATGCAGTGGAGTGTACAGGCACGTGTTTTCTGTCCTACTTTGAGCGCTGGATAAGGCTGTGCGTGGGCTATCGTCAACTTCCTCTGCATTGCCAAGAAAAGTTTTCGCCGAGTATAGCTCCGGTAGCGCAATTCCGTAGAAGCTTGGCTTGTATCCCTGAAGGAGTTCGAATGGTGTCTTCCCTGTTGTCTTGTTCACAGCATTGTTCAGGCTGCACTCTGCTTGTTTGAGTTTAACGTCCCAGTCTCGGTGGTCGGGATCTTTCATGGCTGTTGTGATGACGCAGCACTGTTCGGTTTACTCGCTCGACTTGGCCGTTGGCCTGGGGGTGACGCGAGGAGTTGAGCACGTGTTGTATGGTGCGTGTTGTGCATAACTCTTCGAACGCTCTCGATGTAAAACACCTTCCACTGTCTGTGATGATGGTTTTAGGCAGACCTCTCTGAAGTATGAATTCCTCCATCGCACAAAGCACATGCGTAGCTGACGTGTCTCGGGTAGCAAAAAGTCGCACAAACTTATGTTAAGTTGTCGACCATAACCAGGAGGTGCTGGTTGCGCTTCTTGCTTTGAACAAACGGTCACATATGGTCAAGGTGCACTGTCTCGAAGGGACGCTTGCCAGGAGGGTTGGGATTGAGGATTCCTTCCTTTCTTCCACCAGGGACCTTGTTGAAAATGCATTCAAAGCATTGCGAGATGTGCTTGCGCACATAGTTGCGCATCCAAGGAAACCAAAAAGTTTCCTGAAGCTTTGCGACCGTTCTGTCCACCGAAAAATGCCCTAAAAGATCGTGGCACTGTACCACTACCGCTTTACTCATTGCCTTGGGCAGCACAAACTTCATTGATAGCTGTTTGTCCTGATCAATGATGTGCATGAGCTTGCCATCCGTGAGGGCATATTTCTAAGCTTTACTCTTGTCCTCTTTTGTACGGAGGTCTTCAAGTTTTTCCAGTATCTCAAACAGCTGGCGCAACTCCTCGTCTCCTCTTTGCATGGCTAGTATCTGATCCTCCAGACTGCAGGTCAGGCACACTTCAAAGCGCCCTTCCAGAAGATCATCCATGGTGTCGCTCGAGCTTTCCACGGGCTGCCGACTCAGTGAGTCAACATGCAACATCTGAGTAGAAGGTCGGAACCTTATCGTGAAGTCAAATTCCTGTATGAGGTCATACCAACGCGCAATTTGAGGCTTCTGAGTTCGCTGGGCATTCAAGTAGATGAGCGCTTGACAGTCCGTAGCTACCGTGAAGTGAATGGCCAAGAGGAGGGATTTTAGTCGATCCACTGACCAAACAATGGCCATGAGTTCAAGTCTTGTTGAATGATACTTGCTCTCAGCCTCAGTTGTCTTTCTGCTCACACAGTAGACAAGATGCCAAATATTGTCCTTTCGTTGAAGCAACATTCCACCCAGCCCATTTGATCTAGCGTCTGTATGCTATTCACTCTCTGCCTTAGGCTCAAAAAGCTGCAGCACAGGCTTCGATGTGAGGCGTCCTTTCAGGTCTTGTAAACTGTTTTCTTGTTCTGTTTCCCACTCGAAAATAGCATCTTTCTTTGTGAGTCTTGTGAATGGTTCGGCGATCACAGCATATTTAGGGACGAATTTCCGAAAAAATCCACTCAGTCCCAAGAATCGCCTTGCGTCATGCACATCCCAGGGGTCGGAAATTGGGCGATTACATTCATCTTGGCCTCTCCTGGCTGCATGTGCCCTCCGCTCAAGCGGAACCCCAGAAAGTCCACGCTATCTTTGGCAATCGCGCATTTGCTGAGGCGCAGGGTCAAATTTGCTTCCTTAATTGCTTGCACAACTTGTCGTAGCCGGTGCATCATATCGTTCCACTCTCGCGCTGGTATGAGAACATCATCTAAGTAACACATAAACACTCGTCCCCTTAGCGGGCCTAAGACACGGTTCACAAGCCGTTGGAAGACAGCTGGTGCATTCGTGAGGCCAAACATCATTCTTTCGAACTGGCCTGTTTCATCTGGCGTGATGAATGCAGTCTTACGCTTAGCCTCTTCCGTTAGCGGCACTTGCAGGTATCCATGTGCAAGATCCAAAACCGTGTAGAGCGTCGCTCCAGCAAGTCCTTCGAACTGGTTATCGATGTTGGGTAAAGGGTACTTCTCCTTCCCTGTCTGGGAGTTCAGTCTCCTGTAGTCGACCACCATCCGATTTTCTCCATTTTTCTTGTCAACTACTACCACCGGGCTAGAATAATCGGATGTTGCCTCCGTAGCCACACCGAGATCTTTCCACTCCTTAACAGTCTTCCGTATTGTTTCCCGCCCTTTGGCGATTGTACGATATGGCCGCAAAGCAAAAGGGGTGCTACCCGGAGTCTCAACAATGTCCATTTCCACGACTGATGTACAACTCAATCCACTTGGCGTCATTACAAAGCACTCTCTGAATTCGTTCAACAGTTCTACTAATTCAGACTGTTGCGCCTTGGTTACTGCAGGTCCAATGTTAACTTCTGTTTCCTAAATGGGTCGTCGCTCGACCTCGCTCGCCTTATCTTGGTCGCGACCGGTGTGGACTTCAGAAGTGTCCTTGATGTCAACCTGCAAGATTTCGAGTCGGTTGGCTCGCCCAAGTGGTTGTCTCTTCCTGATGACGACACCACCATTACTTGCAGGATACATAGGTATCGTCACCTCACCGAGAGTAATGTCAATGAGAACGTCCGTCCCGTAGTGTCTGTAAAATGACAAGGCCTGTGACCCTTTCGTCTGCCGTCAGAGACGGCTGACGAAAAAGTCACAGGCCCTCCCCCACTTGACATACTCTTGCTTATGTCAAGTAGGACAGTTCAGTAAACGTTCGTCCAACCAACAGGTCCACCGCCTGGGCTTCATCCGGGACAACAAGAATTGGAACATCCTTCGCTAGGACACCATCAATCTTTGTCAGCCGTGCATCCTCCAATGCTCCTAGACACAGGCACGCTGCTGTTTCCAAAACCACACAGGGGTGTTGACTCCGGAACAAGCTCTGTGCCACATCGAGCTGCCGCTGACGCACGAAGTAAACCGCCGGAACTTCCCGTGTCAATGAGTCCAATGAGGGAGTACTCGTCATTTAGTATGACTTGCTTCAGCAAAACACCAACTCTCACTGTTTCATTCGATGGTTCACTCACTGTATTTGCCTCGTTACGCTCTGGTTGCGCCACCTCTGCAATGACGTTGGGTATGATCAGTTCCGTTGCGGCGCAGGCACTTAAAGGGTCGCCTAAGCTGGGGGCAGTCTCGTGCCAAGTGGCCGTACTGGTTGCAGTTGCAACATTTCCATTTCTCCTGTTTCATTCGAGAGTGGCGGCCGTTTGTCAGTGGTGTTCCTTGCATCGCGAATTTTTGTTGCGAATTTCGCACCTGGCTCTTGGATACTGGCCGCATCCGTCATGCTCGTCTTGTCATGGGGACCACCAAAACGTTCTTGCCTTTCGCGTTCGATCCTCTCAAATTCTTGCATATCGTGCAGGAGGTCGTCATCGTCGTCATGGGTTTTCCCCAACAGCATCGTACTTAATTGTCTTGAACGCAGGCCCGTGATAACTTGCTCCCGCGTATCGCAAAAGTCAAGTCCCGCCTCCTTGCACAAGCGAACTTTAGAGTGTAAGTAGGCCGTTGTACTTTCGCTCCCTTGCTTGACGGTACCCTGCATTCTTCTCCAGCGTTCCGCTCCACGCGTCTGGCTGACAAAGGTTCTGCGAAATTGGTCCTCGAACTCTTCCCACGAGGTGATGTCAGCGCTGCGTGAGCGTAGCCAGTCCTTGGCGGCTCCCGTGATGTGGGACTTGGCGCTCTCGAGCAGAAATGATGACGGCCATTTATGGAGCGTCGCCGTTCGCCGCAGGTTCTCCACCCATTCTCGAGCTGAGGCCGCGTCCTCGCTGACGTCAAATTTTGAAACGCTCTTACTAAGGCCGGGCATTACATGGAATGTCGTCACGCCTTGCGATTCCACCGCCGCTGATGATGTCGTTGCTGTAGTCGAAATCAGGCGTTCCAATAAGTCCTTCAGCAGCCGATCTTTTTCCACGATCAGGTTAAGGAGTTCACGCACGGAGACTCCTTCGCCTTGATCGGTTGCTTCGGCTGAGCTGGTCGTGTGTGGAAGCTTGTCCTTGTCCATCTTCGATTTAGTCAAGCAGCGTGAAGCTCGTGGTACTTCCGGGCAGTTATCGATCCACATCCCACTTCTGAGATGTTAACTTCTGGTCTTCGTTCAGATCAGAAGGTAGAAAAAGGGTACTCGCATTAGTAGAAAGGAGAAAAAAGTAACGTTTTATACTTAAGCTGTTGGAGTGGCCACACAGGCTGTGGTATCGTCGGTCACGATCGCCACACAGGCATTCCTGTCTCACACGTTCTCGTGCACACACAGTGCTCCAGCTCACGAGGTCTCGTCGCCGTCTTTTTTTTTTTTTGAAGGGGTCGCTTACCTGTGGGAAGTCTACAAATGTGAGATGTTAAAAGGGCCAAATTTTCAAAATAAACGACAACTGTTTGTGTTGCCAAGGCGTTCTGCGCGACATTTCTGACTGTTTTAAGCATAGCACTGATATGTTATACACACACTTTTACTTGTGCACTGTATTACTTTTTAATGAAGGTTTCTTGTGCTTCTGTCAAAAAACAAAGCTCGTGCTGATTTACTAATTCGAAGTCTTTTTTTTTTTTAGATATGTTTCAGAGATAAGTGTGGGAATTACAGCACTGATCTGCCTCCGCTACCAACCTTGCCTACAACCGAAACGCCCACACCAACAACAACGACCACTACAGACAATGATGATGATGATTACGATAATGAAGGCTCAAATTAGAACTGGCGTTGTAGGAGAAGCTCTCCCGATGTCCCGTCCTGTGTCGTGTAAACAGCATGAGGTGCTAAACATTTTTGGAACGTGGCTATTTTGCGTATTCCTTGGTATAACGCAAAAAATATTTGCTCCGAGCCTGCTCACTTGCTCTATAAATTGGCAGTAACCCTTAAAAAGGCAAGAGGATCTGTGTTTACAGTTCGAAGGATTTAATTTATCAATAAAGTATTGCCTGGTAGGTCTTATTTTGAACAATTTGACTGAGTTGCCCCATGTGCTCACAAAGATATGTAGAGTACTTCTAATTCTCATCCTGCATTCCTTTAAAATGCTGCGTCTCAAGCCATAGGAGCTAGAAATAAAACACAAAAAGACACAGATGAGCGATACGTGTGCGTAACATTATACCACGCTTTTTAAAT